CTGTTTATATGTTGTGGGTATGGATACCACTTAGTTTCCTAGTGATGGATATACATTTCTGTTACCTATTCTCCCTGAAATTTCTTGGTGGATTTTGACAGAAGGTGGTTGGGTGGGTATGTCCTTACTCTGCTCTTCTAAACTTAGGAGTCTTTCACATTTTTATCACAGAAAACATGACTCACCATATTATGGATTCCTAGAATTCCTTTATTTTGTTTAATTAAAGCCTAAACTTGGAGGTAAATTGAATTTTAACCTAATTTGGGCTTCATGTTGGCTAATGGGAAGAAATAAAGCATATAGTGGGAGGATCAGAGCACACAGCATCACACATCTGGATAGAAATACTAGGTTGGTGCACAGGTGTTTGCCTGCATGAGCACAGGCTAAACATCTGGACATTAGCTATTTTCTTCTTTGGTTTCTACCAGCTGTTTGGTATCATGGAAGACACAGATTATAATCAAAGTGACTTGTGAGTGGCATGCTGAGTTGACAAATAGGTTGAGGGGACTCTTCTCTACGTCCTGAACATGACAATGAATAGGTTCACCTCCATCATCGTATCAGCCTCCCTCCTGCTGCGTGCCCTAAGAGGATCCAAGAAATTCACGTCTCCAGGCACTGATCAGTGACTTTAACTTTTCTCTTTCATTTCTAAGGAATCAGTTAAAGTATCGCAAGAAAACAGTTTTCCATCTACAGTTTTAGAGGCTGAAGATCTGACTTAGAGATCTTAGTAAATACGCATGTTTCTTCCACATGTAGGATCTAGGAGTCTTCCTCCCCACCCCCATCTCTAATTTTTGATGGAAAAGGCTAATTTCCTAACTCTACCAATACATTTAATGTGCAATTCAATACAATTCCTTTGGTTTAAACACAAAGCTAGCTTGGACTATAGGACCAGATGAGTTTGTTAGATGGGTGTTCTCTGTGGGATGAGAGGACATTTTAAAGTCTGAAAGCTTCTGTCAAGGCTTTTTAAAGCCAGCTATTAACCACACACACACACACACACACACACACACACACTTTTAATCACTCTATTTTTAATCTATTCTTTAAGGTACAGCTCAAATCCTACTACCTCTGGAAGTCTTCTGAGCCTTTCCTTTGGTAGTCTTGGCTATGCTTTGTTGTCTACTATCTGGAATTGTTCATTTTTGGGCTGATGAAAGTGTCATGTTGATACAATGGTCACCTATCTCCTGGTGAATAATCCTTCAGAAGTACAGAGAAAACTGGACTAAGCGATTCACTTTTTCTGAGGCCACTGAATTAGTATCATGGACTTACAAGTAGTATTGAGCAGAAATGAATACAGCACTTTCTTAAAATGTATTTAGTGGGCCAGACTCCATTACTTGCTTGCTTCCTTCCTGTGAGTACCTCCAGCCGGCCTGGTGGGAAGCCATGCTGGTTCTTTAAGATGATGTTGGAGGGTTCATCAGTATAAAGCGGAGAACCCTTAATGAGAGTAGGGCTCATGCTGGAGTGAGGACAACACCCTTTATTCCCACATTTTTACGTATCTTCCTTTCCAGTTAGGGAGGAGAGACATACAGAAAGGGCTAAGATGGGCCATTCCCACAGGGAGAGTAGGCAGATCCCAAAGGGAACTGATGTGACTGCCTGCTTAAAAGTGTCTCCAGTGTGGGTCTATTGGTGGCTTTGGATTAAAGCCCTTTTGGCAGAAGGCCCTTGGAGTGACAGTCAAGAGAAAATCTATTTATAATTAATTATCCAGGGTAGTTCACACACACACACACACACACACACACACACGCTACCTTAACAAAACAGAAATCCGAAATCAAAGTGATTTTAATTTTTCTCTTTAAACTGCTCTGTATTTCCAGATCTTCATTTTAAAATTACCATTTTTTTTCTCCATACAAAGATTAAGAAAAAATTAGTAACCCTCTTGTCCTCAAGGTGACCAGTATCAACAGCTTTGTATATATACCTTTATCCTTTTGAATTCAAACATTTTGGGGGGGGGGGGCCGGGGGTTACTCTTGTCTTTGCAAAACTGAGATCCTAATAGGAACACTGCTTTGCATCCTGGTTTTCATTCTTTTTTTTATTATTTTTTTTTTGGACCAGAAAGAGACAGAGCAGGAACGGGGGAGGGGCAGAGAGAGAGGGAGACACAGAATCGGAAACAGGCTCCAGGCTCTGAGCCATCAGCCCAGAGCCTGACGCGGGGCTCGAACTCATGGACCGCGAAGTCGGACGCTTAACCGACTGCGCCACCCAGGCGCCCCTGGTTTTCATTCTTTAAAACACATTCCAGTCTCCAGAAAGTTTTAATGTGTTCTTTTTTATTTGTGCATAACATCCCCTAGAATGGATCAACTATGGTCTATTCAATCATTTAGTTACCGATAGAGAGTCAAGCCCTTTCCAGTTTTGTCACCACAAATAGGTCTCTATTGCTCAAATATTCTACTATAATCATGTAACACTTATATTGGAAAACAGCATGTAAAATATAAAAACGAGAGAGATAATTAGAGTCAAGAGGCACGCTGGACCTGTTTGCTGAACAAACAGGTAAATAAATGTATTAAAATGTTACCTGGGAGCAGAGCCACATAGCATTTCTGTCTTGAAATAATCATTTCATTGTGGGCCCTGCCTCCCAGTGTAGCCAGCACAGGCCTTGAGATCAGGAGCCACGCCTCTTTCCTCCTGGTCTCTTCCAAATTGCAGAGCGCAGCCCTGCAGAGGGCAGGTGGTCCTAGACCTACCCAGTCCAATGTGCTCTAACAATTTCCTTGGAAAACAGCTATTTAGATTTCAGAACGAAAATTTCCCATGGGTATAATGTTACAAGACTGGATTCCCAGGCCAGCCCACAAATTCTTATTTTAACCCAGAATGAAGGTAAACGATATACTTACATTGTTATAGTTTCTTATTTTTTCTATGGTAAAATATTTCTGAATTCCAAATGAGCATCTGTATGCAGAGAACCCTTCTCTACTGTGTGTGTGTGTGTGTGTGTGTGTGTGTGTGGTGGGCAGGGGGAAGGAAAGAAAAAGGAACAGCGATTCTTTCCTTCACTGCCCTCAAATGAGATGTTTTCTCTCCCCTTCTGCTGATCTGGTCGTATGTGGAAACTGAGCAAGCAGAATAGGAAATAGGATGACTAAATACGAAAGTGCCAGAAAGACGAAATGCAAAAAGAACAAATTTAACATAAAAGTTGGATATTTTTCTTAGAGTCCCCACTCATATTTGAGATCTAAGGATTTGAATTTGATTGCTAACAATACACTAACTGAAATCTGCATATACGTGAAATAAAAACTTCTAGAAAAGATACTTTAGTTGCTATAGATTTCTCTTAATTCGTTTTCTTTCTCAAATAGCATATTTAAAACATAATGTGAATCAAAGCCAAAGTTTATTTAAATATTAATGATCATGAGATGTATTACTTATGAATAGCTATTGATCTGGACACACAGTGATTTCTAAGTTTGTTTTTACATGTTCATTCGGAGAGTCAATGTTTGACTAAGATAAAAACACAGATGTGTTTTTAGATTTCTTTTTTTTTAAATATGAAATTTATTGTCAAATTGGTTTCCATACAACACCCAGTGCTCATCCCAACAGGTGCCCTCCTCAATACCCGTCACCCCCCCTCCCCTCCCTCCCACGACCCATCAACCCTCAGTTTGTTCTCGGTTTTTAAGAGTCTCTTATGTTTTGGCTCCCTCCCTCTCTAACCTTTTCTTTTCCCTCCCCCATGGTCTTCTGGTAAGTTTCTCAGGATCCACATAAGAGTGAAAACATATGGTATCTGTCTTTTTCTGTAGGACTTATTTCACTTAGCATAACACTCTCCAGTTCCATCCATGTTGCTACAAAAGGCCATATTTCATTCTTTCTCATTGCCAAGTAGTATTCCATTGTGTATAAACCACAATTTCTTTATCCATTCATAAGTTGATGGACATTTAGCCTCTTCCCATAGTTTGGCTATTGTTGAAAGTGCTGCTATAAACATTGGGGTACAAGTGCCCCTATGGATCAGCAGTCCTGTATCCCTTGGGTAAATTCCTAGCAGTGCTATTGCTGGGTCATAGGGTAGATCTATTTTTAATTTTTTGAGGAACCTCCACACTGTTTTCCAGAGCGGCTGTACCAGTTTGCATTCCCACCAACAGTGCAAGAGGGTTCCCGTTTCTCCACATCCTCGCCAGCATCTATAGTCTCCTGATTTGTTCATTTTGGCCACCCTGACTGGCGTGAGGTGATATCTGAGTGTGGTTTTGATTTGTATTTCCCTGATGAGGAGCAACGTTGAGCATCTTTTCATGTGCCTGTTGGCCACACAGATGTGTTTTTAAAAATGAATGTTTTGATAAAATAAAAGATTAGGAGAAACTACATAACATTAGTAGGAAGAATCATCTTCCGTATAACTTAAAGAGACATAGTTTAAAAATTCTTAAAAGACTGTAGTGTAAAATATAAGGTCTATTAATCAGTGCTTTCTTTTTTGAAGTACTATGCTAGCTAAAACTTACAAGTTATTTATATAAAGATCATATATCAAGAAATAATTCTCTGAAATTGCCTATTAAATATTATTTAAAATATTACTTTAATAAAAGTAAAATCTATTCTTAAAAATGTTAATTTTTCCACAGGAAAAAAATTAGCCATAGTTCCATCACTCAGAGACAACCACTGTTAATGTTTCGATGTGGTTCTGTTTGGTCTTATTTAATAAAGATATCTTTGGGGTGGTTATACTATGCATATAAAACATTAGGGAGCTGGGTGGCTCAGTCGGGTAAGCTTCTGACTCCAGCTCAGGTCACGATCTCGCCGTGGGGCTCTGTGCTGACAGCTCAGAGCCGGGAGCCTGCTTCGCATTCCGCGTCTCCCTCTCTCTCTGCCCTTCCCCTGCTCACACTCTGTCTGTCTCTCTCTCTCTCGCAAAAATAAACATTAAAAAAAACCATTTTCTTTTCACCCTCAATACGGCACAAATATTTCCTACTATCCTATTTATCTTAAGTTCATCATAAGCAAAAATACCAACAAAAGGAACAGTTTGTATGCGGGAACACACGGATAAGTCTTGTGAAAGATGACAGGATTGCGGTAATGTTTTGCCAGTTTCTCAATGAGGGAAAAAGTTTTGCCCAAAGGTATCATAAAAGCATGACCTCAAATGCATACATGGAAACAAGAGGTCATGATTCTGTTGGTTCTGCATCACTGCAAAGATAAGAAGTTCTTACAAAGATGGGAAAGAGAAACAAAGAAAAACGGGAGACAATTGAGCACGTTGATGATGACCTTATATGTGGGTACCTCTCATGTGGCTGGTTCCACTCTATCAATGCGTACAACCACCTCTGTCGCTTGGTATCCGTATTTCTTTCTCTCCTTCAGTCTGAACGCCTTTCCACTCATGGTTGGTTGTGTTTTCTTTCTTATCTCCAGTTGTCTGAAAATGAAATAAAACGAACAGCCAGTTTTTGTGGCTTAGTTTTTAAATGAAAAAAAATTTTTTTTTTTTAAAGCAACAGAACCTTTTCCCTAAGTGGAATCTTACCCAGAACCTCAATATGTAAAACAGAAAAAAGTGGACCTTTTTCGGTCATCAAGGAGGGAGTAGTGCAGAAACCAAGATCCACAGTTTGAGGTTGAGAAAATATGTGATGGGCTGTTTAAACCAACATTTGCTTTCAACTTACAAAACGTTCAAGGCAAACCATGGAGTTTTACTTATGCTGATTGTTCTGCCAACAAAAATTCAGTTTTACACATGGAGTTTCTGACAGAAGAAAAAGATCTGAAAATTTTTGGAAATCAAAAAACTTAAATACATTTGGAGCCACTGAACTTTGGAATGAATATTGATTTTGTGGTGACCGAACCTCTGAAAATGATCACTCTTCACTCAAAACAGTCTGAGGAAATTACCTCAGTTGAATATTTCTTCTCTTTTTCCCTCTTCCTTAAGGGAAGTTTCTTGAGGGGTAAAGAGAATGAAGAAAAAACTTATTTTATTTTTGCAGATGAAAATCAGAGAGAAAGTTAACAGGAAATAAATATTTTTTTGCTTTTTAAAAAATGTTTATATTATTTATTTTGAGAGAGAGAGACAGAGAGACAGAGAGACAGGGCCAGACAGAAAAGGAGAGAGAATCCCAAGCAGATTCAGTGCTGGCAGCATGGAGCCCGATGTGGGGCTCAATCCTATGAACATGAGATCAAGACCTGAGCTGAAATCAAGAGTCGGACTCTTAACCAACTGAGCCACCCAGGCGCCCCATAACAGGAAATAAATATTTTAACTGAGGAATTAAAAGTGAATATAAAAAGACAAAACTGTTTCAGATATCATAAATATGTTGTATCTCCTTAGCAAATTCAACATATAAGGGAGAGGGCAATGGGAAAACAGTTGTAAATTCTCCTTAGAAACCAACAAATTAAGAAATCCTTGCATTTCACTGTTGAGGCGACAATCGGGAAATTTATAACATGACCTTTTAAAACCACAGAACCTGTGGAAATCTTCCCATTGATGGCAGAATAAAGTCCAAACTTCTCCATCTGGTGTCTGCTCACCTTGCCTCTGCCCAGGGCCTTCTTTCCCTCATTTATAACTCTGAAGTCACACATTCCTTCCATTCCCAGAATATGCCAGACCCTTTTGCTTCTTAGGGCCTTAGTCCCCCACTCTTACCTCTGCCCAACGGCTTCAGCGCATAATTGGTACCTGTTACGTGTTGAATTGTGTCCGCCACTCCATTCATTTGTGGAAGTCATAACCTTCAGTACTCAAAATGCGACCTTATGTGGAAACAGGTCCTTGCCGATGTAATTGAAGATGAGATCATCCTGGAGTAGGGCGGGCCCCGAATCCAATGACTGGTGTCCTGATAAAAAGAAGTTTGGACTCAGGTGCATTCCCCAGAGAACACCTGGCGAAGATGAAGCAGAGATCAGAGATCATTTGCAAGCCAAAGAAGGCCCAAGAGTCCTGGCAAAGCACCGGAAGGCAGGAGGCATGGAGCAAATCCCTCCCTCGGCCTCACAAGGAACCGACCCTGTGACACCTGGATCTCGGAACTACCAGCTTCCTTAACTGTGAGACAATACAGTGCTGTTATTTAAGTTGCCCAGTGTATGGTCCTTTGTAATGGCAACCCCAGGAAACGAATACCTTCAAGCCATTTTCTCAGGGGAACCTTCCCTGACCACCTAGATTCTGCCAGTGTTTTCAGGGGGAGCTCTTGCTTATTTCCTTCAGAACACCAATACAAATCTGTAACTATGTTATTGGTTGGTTTGTCTGTTGACGTCACCCCCACTGGAATGTAAGGTCCGGGAGAGCCAGGGCTCGTCTTGTTCCTACTTCCTTCACGGCAGCTCTCAGTACCGGGGGCATGGCAGGACTGGGCACACATGGGCGGGAAATGTCACCGACTCACATCAGAGGCGAAGGAGGCAGCACCAGGAGCCCGTGTGAATTGTCATGTACTTTTGGATTTAGTGGAGATGACTTTTTTTTTTGTTTTCCCCAAGGAAGTCAGAGACTTAAAAATACTCTCAATCCTTTGTTTTATGACACTCTTCTGTCTTTCTGACTGGCAAACTTCCAAACATTGTCAAACAGTGAAAGTGCGTCATTCGCGACGCTAGGAAGTTTGGGGAGAAAGAGAACACACTGGCATCGAGCTTCACAGGCTGTGAGGAACTTGCAGAGAAAGAGAGGAAACTAACAGAAAATTCGCCAAATGATCCGGACCCAGTGAATCTTGTGGTTTGCCGAATTTATGTTAAAAATTTGAAATGTATTTGTTCAAAATATTTTTAATACTTGAAACTATTATAGTAGTTCTTTCTAAAGAACTTCAAGGCAGAGCTTTGGACACCTTTTCCTTCCGAGTTTAAAAAAGGAAAGTACTACTTTATCATTTGGATATAGTAATGGATATTTCAAAGCTATTTGGGATGGAACAGAGACGTTTTAGCAAAAAACAATTTAGGAAGTTTTCAAAATTGTAAGCTTTCCTTCTAGACAAGAAAATGGGCGCCCCCCCCCGATACACACACAGATACACATACACACACCCTGGCAATTTCAAGGAATATTTTTTCCCTGACTTCATCAGAGCAGGACAAAATTAATATTTATTACGAAGGAATGGGCAATATATGGCCCAATTTAAATTCATGATTTTCAGAGAATAATTGCAATAAAATGAACCTCATTTCGGAGTTTCCAGTAACATGGGAGGAACAATTACGTGAGGTAATAGTCAAGAATTTCTCCGATTTGATGCTCTGATCCTTGAACTTTGATAGAAGGCTTTTTCAATGTCCTTACTGTTCTGTCTCAACTAAAATCTAACTTGACTGTATATTCAGTGTAGACTTCACAATAATACTTTTTGGAGCGCAGAACTGTAGTCTATGGGTCTGTATGAGCCAACCGCTCTTGCAAGTGTGGAACACTCATTTCCTAGGATTTTATAATCCCCTGAATAACACCGTGGAGGAGAGCCTCTGTAGCCAGGACAGAGTGGGATCAGTGATATGGTGGAGAAAATTGCGACATCAATTGACAGATGGATCATGGGCTCCTGATTTGATCCCAAACATACTCAACACTTTAGTGAGTAAGCCATCATATTCCATGTTCTTAACTCTAATATACAGTTCTAAAAGCTGTGATGATAGGTGGAGGTGATGCTGGGATACTGGGATGATATAGTGGAAACTAACATGCCAATTTACTAGACTCTAAGAGACCTTCCTGGGAGGCAGAGGTTTCCAATGGTTTGGGTTCAGTGCTGTAGTCCCAGTGCTGTGAAAAGTTTGTGGGCACTTAATAAAGTCTGTTACTTGAATGATTATTTTATGAAACTATTCTTGGTAGAAAAATAAATTAAAAACCCATTTGAAAGGAGAGATCAATCACTATGTGTCCAGCTGATCACTGCTCTTACTTAACTTCCTTGAAGAGAAATTACTCCTAATGCGTGCAGGTGGATCTTCTTTTAGGAGGTTCTATTCCACCGGTGAAATATTAACATGCCTCACTCAGGAGATCACTCTGGTTTCATTATAGAACATTGCTTGAACGGTGGTTTTTGCATTAGACCTAGGTGTTTGGTCAGAGTTCTTCAGTATGGCAAAGGTTACTTTTTTCAGAGACTTTCAGAAAGGTTGCATTTCGCTATATCGATCCCTTTTCCACAGAGGTTTGTGACTGTATGTATCTCATCAAAGAGCTGAGAAATATTTCCTGACTGTGTATATCAATACCATGTGGACTTTGGGGGCGTATTTAAACTTTTGTCTGCAGTGATACGTCATCAAGGTCATAAGAACTGAGTGAAATTCATTCTATGCTTTATGTGTCTAAGGGCCTGAAAAATTGGAAACAGTACCCATGCCTCAGGGAGCTCCGGGGGGGGGTTCAGGAAAGGCAGGAGTCAGTGATCTCTGCCAGTTTCCTGGAGGGTCAGTGAGGTGACACATATACAAAGTTGTCGGGAAAGATGTGATGAGTTTAGTTTTAGACATGCATGATTTGTTGAACCCGAGGAACATCTAGGAGGTAAATCACCCAGACGTCAGAAGCTATACACTTTGGAGCTATTACCAAATAGAGATATCTGAAGCTGTGGGCATGAGTGAGAGCACTCAAAGAGAAAGCACGCGGAATGAGAAAATAGAAGGGTTTAGGATGGAATGTCTGGAAACACCGTACTTTAGGGGGCTGGCCGCAGAAGAGGAGCCAGCCAGGAAATAGAACAGGGCAGAGGGAAGTCACCCAGGCACCCGGATGGGCACTGCTACATGGCACAGAGAGACTGAGTCGGTGAAGGCTGGAAACAGCCCTTTAGAAAAATTACGAGAAGGAAATACATAAAAACATCAGCACCTCAGTTCCCGACCGCTGAGATTCCAGGTGGCTTATGTTTTTCTTTCAACTCTTCGGCATTCTGTACAACGAGTATCGGTCACCGCATGTTAATAAAAGACTCTGATGGAGTCTAAAATATTTCATGAGGAACAAAAGGGCAAGGAATTATTCATTCACAAGCATTTATTTGAGCGCCTGCGTGCAGGGCACCATGCTCAGCATAAAACAACAAACAAGAGGATGGCTCTGTTGTTTCACAACCAGGAGTGGCAGCTGGTTTGCCAAGGGCTTGTGGGGCCCTGGAGCAGGAGATGGGGCTGGGAAAGGACTTTGGTGCCAGATTATACTGATTTTATATGTTTTGTTAAATAATATGGATTTTATTCTGAAGGCTGGGAGAGGTTTTTGAGGGGTGGAGTTAGGGTTGGAACGCGCTTTATTTGGAGTTGATTTTCTACTTAATTGGACAGTAGTGTGGCTGCTAGCCCGGAGGAGCACAACCTGGGAGCACAGCTGGAGGCGGGTTCATCACTGAATGAAGGCAATACAGGGCAGATGGGGAGGGCCGGGTCCGGATTTGGGAGTAGTAACAAGCCAGCAGGATGCTACCGATTGAATGGATGCTGGGGTTTTTAACTTGGGTCTGTAGGTGGGCAAAAAGTGACAACCACCCTACAGACTTTGTATAGGACGACTCCAACTGCCTGTCGTGGTCACTGTTATGTGAAATAGGAAAGCGAGTAGCTATGGCAGATGGTATTAGAGGCGAGAGGATGAGAAGGAATGTGTGTATCTATTGCTGAGATCACGTAGAAGACAGAATCCTAAACACTCGGCTGGCTGTCTCCTAACCACACAGGCGTCTTCAGATGCTTTCTTTTTCCAGTCCCTAGAACTCAATACTTCTGTGGCAAAGAGGGATGTTGGAGTTATGTTTTTAGAAAAGTGTTTGCCTGTACATAACTATGGCCTCCCAGGAAGGGTCTTTCTTTGTTAGATCAGTTTGGGAGAAGCTGATTAAACTGCACCTGGGGGAAGAAACAGGTATAATTAGATGAGAATTGATGCTTTTAAAGCAAAGGACCCCCCTACCCCCACCGCTCCTCGGCGCCTGGGTGGCTCAGCGGGTTAAGCGTCTGACTTTGGCTCAGGTCACAATCTCATGGATTGTTCTGCTGTCAGCACCAAGCCTGCTCTCTTGGAATCCTCTGCACCTCCTCTCTCTGACCCTCCCCCCACTCGTTCTTTCTCCCTCCCTCCCCCCCTCCTCAAAATAAATAAACTTTAAAGCAAAGTCCCCAAAAGTGGTAGGTCCCAAATGAACTGTATTAGTCTGAACTAACACACCCTGAAGGTGACAGGTGCTGTACCTGTATTCTTGCATTTTATCATTTATCCCCATTTCACAGCATTGAAAACTAAGGCCTTAGGTTATGCAACAAGAGGGAGCATGCCCAGCTAATAAGTTAAAAGAGGCCGGATTTGAATCTGGCTGGAAGTGCCACAGTATAAAGCTTCTCTCCTGGACCAGCCACGATGAAGGCATCTTGAAATACAATTAATTCACACCCTCGCGCATCTCATCCTGCATTAGGTAACTTCTGTTGCACTGGCGAGAACTCAGTCTGGAGTGTGCTGTTGTTGACGGACTAGGGGAAGGCCTTCCTTATCGCCCCCAAACAGAGCGCCAGGTGGTGCCCGAGATGGCAGCATCCTTCAGATGGTTCCACCCTCAACCACTGATGAGGGTTCAAATAAGGTTAAGGTCGCCAAGTCCTCGCTCGGCCCAGTTCTTGAATTAATATCTAAGTACTGCTGTCTCGTCAGTTCCTTTTATTCCTTTGAGGCGGGCAGTGTTGCAGAGTGAATTTTCATCCGCTCTGAACACAGCGGTGCTAAACACCACTGACACCTGCCCCACCAACAGGCTGGCAAGAGCCCCTTGGCTCCCCCTGCCGCCCTCCTCCTCCTTCCTTCCCAACCTTCAGGTAACCCTGAGGATGGAGGGAGGGTCGGGTACCTGCTTTCCTCTCCTACAGCCGCGAGCTTTGGCCCTGAAACGAAGCGGGCTCCCGGTCGCCCCGGGACCCCCACGTCCCCCCACCCCGCCTCGAGTGTGAGCGCGGCGAGTGTGAGCGTCCCGGTGTGCCAACGGCAGACTCACGAGCAGCCGCTTGTTGCTCCCGCCGCCGCGCCGTGGGGAAGTGAAAATGAAATTGACTTTTCCGAGAAATGATGAAAGCGGCTCGGCCTGCCAATGAACAGCCGCGGCGAACTTCCGCACCTCCCGGCCCGGCCGCTCGCGCCCTCCCTCCGCCTCCACCTCCGGGTTGCACAAGCTTGAAACAAACACTGGGGAGGAAGGGCGGAGGGAGGAGGGCGGAGGGGGGAGGCGAGGGAGGGAGGGAGCCAGGCAGGGAGGAGGGCGGGGGGTGGGGGGATTTCCAGCCTCAGCTCTTCGCAGTTTCCTCTCCTTGTTTTGCTTTCGATCTGGACTGTTCTCAGGCAAGCCGGGGAGTAACTTTTAGTTTTGCTCCTGCGATTATTCAACTGACGGGCTTTCATTTCCATTTCACAC